CAAATATCTCCTAACAGGAAAATATGCAATCTACATCCACCAAGTGCAAAGTGAGGAAACAGAAGTAAGAAGAAAAACACATCCTTAACAGAACCACTGATACGGGCCTGCAGTTTTAAACAGCCACGTTCACCATTCACCACGTTCTTAATTAAATACTTGCAACTCCTCTCTTTTTTTTTTTGCAATCCTAATCTCTGCTGGGCAGTGATTATAGCCTACTTCTGCAGTAAAGTTCTGGGTCTCTCTGCAGAGAATTGAAGACATGGAGTTCACTGCACAACAGGAACCTTGTGTCATTGTTTATTTCCCAATGCCTAATGTGTTTGAATTGCCTACAAGATTCTGAAAACCATGTATCATCTTACAAGTCACTGCAAAACGGACAAATACCTTGTGGCAGTGCTGCTGTCTGAGGACTGTGCTGATGGAGAGCCCACGCTGAGGCCGCCAGGACTCCGGTCTAAGCTCGTAGATTTGGTTATTTGAGGAGCATTTCTTTTGGATCTCAAATCGCAGCTCAAAAAGCTCTTTGCGTAGGCAGCTAAATTTGGCACACTGACAACACGACTGGGCACCTCAGCCGTTTTCTTCTGCTGCTTTTTATTGTAACAGAAAAATTAATTACACGCACACACACATTATTTTTTTTCACACTTTATACTGTAAAACCTCAACAATACCTCATTCATAGATACCTTGTGAGGAGCACCCAAAAATGAAGTTTCTCATCTTTTCCTATAGGTATAAATTCTCAGGGTATGCTGTGAGGATCCATGGATTAGGCAGTCCAATTAAAACAACTCGAGTATTTGACCCTGAGGTTTTAGATACATCAAAGCTGACAGCTTTGCAGAGCTCAGTTAGGTGCTTTCCACCAACCTGACCTCCCTTCTTTCCATGAATATTTATAGACAGTATCATATAGAGGGGCTGGAATGATAAAGGACAAATCCTGAGCAGCCCAAACACAATTAATAATTTTCCTGGATGCATGCAATATCCCAAATAGCAGTTCCCAAATCTCAAGCAACAGCTGTGCTTAACCCAGTGGAAGACTGAGGTCTTTGGAGTTGTAGTGTTTTCTATTTGCTTAAACACTTGAATCTATGTGCATATATATTTCTACTGAATTTAAGTTCTACTCAACAACTGACTATAGGTTGTCTTACTGGAAAGAATTCTACTGAATAACATAACTATAAAAAATTAATAGGACCTTTATTGTCCTGATCACCTGTATGATTCAAATAACAATAAAACATCATGATTTGCGATTTTAATCATATTGCCCATCTTACCTTCATGGAAGGAGTCAAGCAGCCCGTATTGGGGTTGAAAGAAAATGATCGATTCCTGTAAGATTCAGTGTTGGCTAGAAGTGAATGCTGAAATTTTCTTCCTTCCTGAGAGGAAAGAAAAGTCATGTGTATGGAGACATCTATTTGTTGGAAGTTGGTATGGAAACATATATTTATTAAAATATTCCAGAATAGAAAGGATCAGTGTGAAGCAATGTGTGAAACACTGAATAGAGCCTTCCAAAAGATAAAAAAAAAAAAGATATATATAATATATATATATATATATAAGGAAATCTTACCACCAGCTGCTTGATAATTTCTTCTTTCTCACTTAATTTGTCTTGCAGACAGCTTATAAGGTGTGTATCTTCTGATCTGGACTCCCACTTTCTTGACTTTTCTTCTAGTTCTTTAAGTCTGTACCAAAGAAAATGCAGAGCGGAAAAATCTTCCTCAGACCAGGTTCAATAGATACTTGGGTTGCCCTCTGCCCTAAATTCCAAGCCTAAAATACAGGGACATAGTCAGTTCTTTCTGATAAAACAGCATTGTTTTTCAAAACAGGGATCTGTATATGGATTACATATAAGTACAGAATGTTGTGGAGTTCCAAGATGAATTGCCACCAAGGTGTTTAACTCACAACAGCTGTCCAGCATAAAATGAAGCCCCCGCTGTAAAAGACTAACAAGCTTCCACATCACATTGCTAGTCTAGTTTCCTAAAGAAAGAAAAGGCTGTGTCACAGTTCCTATGCATGTCTGTATTCATCTATTTGTTCTCTTTTCTGGCTCAATAACTCTAGAATCCACAGGCTAATCCCAACCATATTTGATAAAGGCCTCAGAAATACTAAATTCCTATAACTTTCATGAAAAGAAAGGCTTGGATATACATCCTGCTTTAGTGATCCCTCTAAGTCAAAACCTCTAGTTGCCAGTTCAGCTCTTTAAATGCCTTAATCAGAGGAAAAGATTCAAATGAGAACTTACACCTTCTCAGAGATGGTGTGGAAACATACATTTGATTGACCCATCAGAAAAGAAGTCAGTATTTCATCAGCCCAGTTCATGAATTTTGCTGCTTAAGAAACCAAGCGCTATGAAGTTCACCTGCCCTACTGATAAATGTATTACAGAATACAAACCACCACTTTGGTTTTTTTTTTTTTGTTGAGGGTAAACATTTTTGAGAGGACCTCCCCCTCCCATTTTGTGTACCTCAGAGTTTAGATAAAAAGATAAATCTTAGCATCTGAAAGGTTTGAGACCTGCTTACATGCAAGTAGGTCTCTCTTCTGGAGCCACACAGCTGGGATAAGAGAAAAGGACAAGGGGTATATGTAACCACAGAGATTATTTCTGAGTATGCCACACAGTTGGGATAAAAGGACAATCTCTGTGGTATATGTAACCACAGAGATTATTTCTGAGGGGCTTCTCCTGTGCAGTCTGAAGCATTACAGAACTACTCACCTCCACAGGGGGCTGCAAAGTGCATTTATTGACATGAGTTAGTGGGGGCTGTCCTGCAAAATTTGCAAGGGAGTGAGAATGAGCAAGAAGCTGCTCTGCTGAACAAAATGAAGTACAAGATCATGGATCGAGGCCTCTGGTGTCATCTGTGACAAAGATGATTTTACACTTTGCAATCAAATTACAAGATGCTAAGTACAGATTCGAGTTTGGCATTGTAAAATTTTATGTATAGTGCTTTACATTAAACAATATTCAGCATTTATTACGATATAACTGTGTCTTTCAGTGCTTGCAAAGGAAATACCTATACACTTCCATTTCAGTGCTTATAATATTCTACCTATGAGTAATAAAAAAATGACACATACTAAGAATAATAATTTCAAACAGAACTCATTGCCATTATGGGCCAGAGTTTATTTAAATTACTTAGTTTCTAAGGAGAAAATCTCTGCTTGGAGATGTGCCTAAGTGCTGCTGAAATCAGATAATATATTTTCACTCTCCTTCCAGTGATCTTGTTTCAGTACGTCCAGTTCTTTTTTATGCTTGACATTGAGGTCTTCTACCAGTAGCTTTTCATGGGTATTAAAAGATGTCTGAATTCTTACGTTTTAATACTAGTTTATTGTCGCTGATCAAAGCACACAGTTTTGAGGTCTCTCGTTGACTACAAAGCTCATTAATTGGGCACAGCACTGGGCTTCTGCTTACTGATTTGACTTGGACTCTTCAGTTGCAATCAGAAGCAGACCCCGCTAACACCGAGGAAAGTGATTTGGAGAAGTACGTGATGTTCAGCCTTCAGGAAATGGAGGGTCTATTCTATATAATGATGCTGTTGATATCCTGTCTGTGGTTGGTTTGTACATCAATCTTAACGGTCAAACATGACAATAAAGTACCATAGGAACTCACTTGCATTAAGCAAAATTATTTTGAAATCTCTGGAATTTTAATATGAGGCTCTGATGCTATATTTCATTACATCATGGCACCAGAAACATTTAATACTACCACCTACCACCATCCGAAAAATACATTTTTTAAAAGTGAAGGTAAACAGAAACATTTACTACTACCACCTACCGCCTACCACCATCCGAAAAATACATTTTTTAAAAAAGTGAAGGTAAGAACTGTTGTAACAATGCCTTTAACTACAGCATTTGTCTTTAACAGACAATGTATTTTGAAAGATAGCACTATTTGATTAACACCACCAATTGAAAACTAAAAATTGCCTAATATTTTTTCAAGCCTAGTCCTAACATTGCTTTCTGATACCAACACCAAAATCAATAGCCATCTATTGAAGACATCAGCAAATTAACAATTTTAATTTTCACAAAAGATATTCAGCTTATATTTTTTTTCCTTTTTTTTTTTAAATGTATTTCTAAGGCCCTTTTTCTTGTTTCTGAATTGCTTCAGGAAAGGCCAAAAGGCCCATGAAAGGATTCTGCCCTTGAAATTATTTGAAATTAGAGCACAACCATGGGAATGATTGATTTGGCACAAAATAAGAAGCAGAAGAATAAGAGTAAAAATGGGAGCAGAATCCTTGAAATAGGTCTTCAGGGGTAGAATAAAAGCTTTCCTTCAGAATAGTCATTCTGGGACTTGTACTCTCTTCCCATAAAAAAACCCATTGTCTGCTCTTATCCTACTCCTTGCAAAAGGTTTCTCTACTGGAGGTTGAATTCACACAAGTCAAAAGAATGGAAATGGGAATGACTACTTCAAGCAGATTACTGGTTTTACTTACTTGGTAACAGCAAGAATAGTGATTTTAAATAATTGGTTACAAAAAATTGGCACATGCAAATAACAAGCCACTCTAACCTTTAAACCAGAAACAACTATATAGCATAAGACAAGATCACTGTTATTAAAGTAACAGAAAAAACCTGTTATTTGTATGCACTCACCAGTTTAACTATTCCCCTATGCAAATTATTTGTCCTGCAAAAGCAAAATAAGAGCTGGGAGATAATGTTCCAGATCTTCCATGGGTTAATTTCAGAGGAGCCTGTATCAGGTGCCTAGGACCATCTGAGCTCTTTGGTTCTACCTCCTGTTATTTGAAGGATTTCTCCTTACGTAATTTCCATTAATGCTTCCCTCTCAAATGCTTACTGTAGTAGAGCTACACCGTCTATCCCCTGTAAAGATTATCCTCCAGCCCAGCAGCTTTAGCATTTGAGGCCTTTTAGACCTCATCACTGACATGTGAATAATTCCTCTCTTCATGAACAGAGGCTCTGAATTCCTTCAAGGTAGCTGGAGGGCACTGATGAAACTCTCTGGTTTGCAATTCTTTCTGTTGATCTTGCTTCAAAAGCTTGAAATGAAAGTCACTTTCAAGTAACTCTCCGAAGAGTGCAAGGGGAAAAAAAAAAAAAAGAAAAAAAGTTTCTTTCTTATTCTTTAAATACCTACTGACTGGTAGAGAGCAGCGGAATTAGTCTGGCCACTCTGACAGTCTGCTGAGGGACACTGCATCCCTTGAGTGCTTTCCTCTAGACTATACAAGACATAATTTTAAAGATTCCTTTAAGGGTATACTCTTCAGAAATGCTTCAGGTATACAGCTTGAGTAGTTAGAGGCATACGTTCTACATCACTGCAGAAATGAAAGGTACCCATGCACCAGATCCCTCAATCTCTCCGCAAAGAGAATGTATTAAGTATGATCATCCAGAAATTTCAAGGATTCAACAGCCATACAAATGCACTGTACAGTGAACCCCAGTCTTGTCTCCCCTGGAAAAGGTAAGTCCTGCACTACTTCTGCATGCAAACAGGAAGACTGCTATTACTGCAATGCAACACGTGCTCCGGGTCTGTGGCTACGCTAAGAGGATGGGTTCCACTTTGTAGGCAAGAGCCAAGGCTACAAGTCAGCTTGGCCTTCTGTGCCCTGACAGCACACTCCAGCTCCAGGCTTCCATCAGCCCAGAGGGACCGTGTCTGCTGTCACTGCTCCTGCTCCTCCAGTGCAAAGGGGAGCAAAGCACATATGGCCTTCTCAAGTGTCCCCTTTAGACTTAAAAACACATTGGTTCCAGCTACAGACAGTATGTATAAAAACCTGATATTTTATTCTCAGAGACTTTTACTTTTTTTTTTAATAGCTCTTGGGGGAGTTGAGAATATGTTTATGACTTCCAGTGCCTTTCAAAGGCTGACATTATGCAGATTTTCTCAGGTCACTCCTGTGGGGCTACACCGGACATATTGCTCTGTGGCATATAAAGAACAATTACCTCAAATGCTTTTATTATGGCAGGAGAGAAAAAATCTCTAAAATTAGTACTTTAGAGAGAAGCTGAAATCACTTAGAACTGAAATAATTTAGAACACCTCTGATGCTGGCATTATTAACTCTATAGATAGCACTTGAAAGTGTGACTTTAGGGCAAACCTTCTGTGCTGTTTCTCTCTATCCTGAAGCTGTGCAGCTTCTTGCTTCTGTGTCTCCACCTCAGCACTGAGTAGCTCCATTGTGTCCTTCAAAAGTAAATTCTCTTTCTTGAGTTCGGAAATTTCACTCTGACATTTTTCCAGTTCATCATGAAGAGATCTGATCTGGCTCTGGCTACTTCCTTCCTAAGAAAAAGGCCAAATTTAGTTATTCACAGCTTATTATTTAACATGAAGATCTCACTGGAATTGTGTGCATGAAATTTTTTTGAACTGATTTTTCAATTATATACGTGCAATTCCATGTGCAAGACAAAATCTGTGATCAAAAATTCCCGAATATATTTTGCAGCTTTCATAACATTAATTCTATTTTAACATTCATTCATTTACTTGTAGATTCTGATCCTTAAATGGAAAAAAAAGCCTGCTCATAGAGAAAAGATGATAAACAATACTAACATTTTAAAGTGGGACATAAAGGAAGGAAATCCATTCTGTTTCTGTAAGAGACTGTACACTTTTATGATCTCTGAAGAGAGAAATTTGGTATTATTGCTTTTGCAAAACACAACATGGTAACAAAGTAGGAACTGGATTCTTGCCTGTTGCTTCTTTAGTGTCCTCACACTCCTCAGCTCCATTTGCAGTTCTTCTATTTGTTTCTTGAGATTAGTGCACGATGTTTGTTGCTCAGAGAGTTCCATCCTCAGAGAGCCTAGTAACAATCACACAATCATTAAGGCAGCCAGAGGCCAGCTGGATCGGGGAGGTAGGTACAGACAATGCAGCTTAAGACTGATACATTACATCTTGTTTCTGCCTCAACTCCTTCACCATTAAGTACAATAATCACTCTGGTATAAGACAGGCCTCCTACTACTAGAGAAATAACTCAGTTGAGCAATAGTAGGACGATACGGAGCTACAACAGCAATGATTCAACATTGGAATTAGAGAGGTAATTCCATGGCAGTTGTTCTGCAGACTAAATCACTGTAATTGCTTCTTCTAACCTTGAATGTGACTGGAGCACCCCTCAGCTTCCCTGTTAAGTCCACTGATGTCTTCTAGAGAGCTATAAGGCAGACTGAGGAGAGCTCTGGTTGCGTTAGAGAAGTATGACATGTCAGCAGATCTGTCATATACTGTATATTGGGAACAAGTTTTGGAATGGATCAAGTACAAGGAGAAAGAAGCTTTTATCTCTATTGTCTCCCTACAATATTTCTTGAAGAAAAACAGAGTTTATCTATTGAACATAGAAACTTCAGAGAGCAACAAATCTTTCTAGCAAATTCGAATTACTGAAAGAAAAACCCAAGAAGATCATTCAGTTCATACTTCAAGTACTTTCAAATTATTCTTTCTTTAATTAAAAAACCTTTTATAGATGAGCTTTAATAACCAGAATTCAAACCTGGAGATATTACAGGTCCTCCTAATGTAGTGTTCTGTTTAGTTCTGAACGGTTTAGGGAACTTTCTAAACTAACTAAACAATACGTAAGGAGCAACTGATCACCGCCGCTGAACTCAACAGAACAGACTTGAACCACATATAACAATTCTTCACATCATAGAAAAAAAGAGGAAAGCCATATACACTAACTACAGTGTTCCAATTTAATATACCTGATAATGCATACTTGAATGTTGTACACTGTACCACTCACTAGCAACGATCTGCTGCTGACAGCTGAGAGGTAGGTTAACAAAGAATAGTAAATGTGCATTGCTGAAATTGCAGGGTATGGAAAAGGAGATTGGCAAAGACCCGAGTTCCCAGAAAATGGGAAAGAAAATGAATGGGAGGAAAGTCAGTGCTTCTTAGCACGTCATCAAGCAGTAGGAGCTGTGCACGACATGAGACATTATACCTAGTAACAGGGTTTGCTGTTTCTGTATCTGCTCCAGTTCATCATGTAATTCTTTCTTTGCTTTCTCTTCCAAGGTCTGTATTTCCAGCCTGTGAGACTGATGTTGGATCTTGAAAGTCTCATTAAACTCCTTTTTCAAACGCTCTTCTGCCTCCTGTAAGCAAAAGACACACCCCAAAAAAACAAAGTAGTTGGAGCCTATTTATCACCTTGTTGTTTTGCTCGTAATGCCAGGATGAATCTGATCTTTCATTGTAGAACTTCTATTTTCATCACCACTTTACATGACACTTCATCAATACAATAATAAAAATGAGCTGAAGTTAAAAAACAAAAATTAATAGGACAAGATAAATTATCACAATATTGTCTACCAGATTTCTTGTACATCATGAAATAGTAACATGATGTCTTTGCACTATTTGACACTAGAAAGATGTTTTATTATTCAACATACAAAGCCTCCCAGACTTGACCCTGTGTATCATTAGTTATCACAGTGTGTCAGATGAAGGCTTTTCTTGTATCGTTCTTGGCCGTGCTGCTGATAGCCTGTAAATGATGGAGCAGTTGTTCTGTAGTGCTTCTGAAAGCAAACTCCTATCCTCAATTTTCTTTTTTACAGCTTACTGCCTTCAGCTTGGTTTTGTTAAAGCTGGGGTTTTATTCTGGATATATAAGCCAGACATTCAATTCTACTTAGGATGGTTTTACTACATCTGTTTTATAAGGAGGTTTTCACTAAAGTGTGCAATATCAATAGGGACATCTGAACTCCATGTCACAATCACATGTACATTTTTCAAGTTGGTGGTTGTTTTTTTTTCCCCTCAAAGAGCAACATTCTTTAGAACCTCGATATACTGCATTAACATTTTATCACTGAAATAAATCCGATTTTTCAAGTTTGTTTTTTTTTTTTCCCCCTCAAACAGCAACATTCTTTAGAACCTCAATATATTGCATTAACATTTTATCACTGAAATAAATCCACTTGAACCTTGAAAAGCTTTGGTTATCCACTTACAGAATTGATTATTGGAGGTATCTAAGGCAATACACAACATTATACATGTCTATTATACTTCTGTTATTTTCATCACCACTTTACATGACAATTCATCAACACAATAATAAAAATGAGCTGAAGTTAAAAAACAAAAATTAATAGGACAAGATAAATTATCACAATACTGTCTACCAGATTTCTTCCACATAATGAAATATTAACACTGACGTCTTTGCACTATTTGACACTAGAAAGATGTTTTATTATTCAACATACAAAGCCTCCCAGACTTGACCCTGTGTATCATTAGTTATCACAGTGTGTCAGATGAAGGCTTTTCTTGTATCGTTCTTGGCCGTGCTGCTGATAGGCTGTAAATGATGGAGCAGTTGTTCCGTAGTGCTTCTGAAAGCAAACTCCTATCCTCAATTTTCTTTTTTTACAGCTTACTGCCTTCAGCTTGGTTTTGTTAAAGCTGGGGTTTTATTCTGGATATATAAGCCAGACATTCAATTCTACTTAGGATGGTTTTACTACATCTGTTTTATAAGGAGGTTTTCACTAAAGTGTGCAATATCAATAGGGACATCTGAACTCCATGTCACAATCACATGTAGATTTTTCAAGTTTGTTTTTTTTTTTTCCCCCTCAAACAGCAACATTCTTTAGAACCTCAATATATTGCATTAACATTTTATCACTGAAATAAATCCACTTGAACCTTGAAAAGCTTTGGTTATCCACTTACAGAACTGATTATTGGAGGTAGCTAAGGCAATACACAACATTATATATGTCTATTATACTTCTTTTAAAGTATTTATGCATAAATTAATAATGGATTAAAAAACAATAAACTGAATTCTGTTCATAATACACTCAGGAATTCCCTTGTATTTCTAAAGCAAGACCCCAGCTTGTATTAGTCACAGTCTAAATGTAGAGGGTAGGCTATATTATTTTATGAAACTATTTCAGTCACACTGTGGTATAAGTTCAAATGTTAAAATTCTAAAAAAAAAACCAACCTGAAGATGATGAAGTTTCAAAGTCACAGAGTTAACTAATTATGTGCAATAATGGCAACCCATCATTAAGATATCCGGAGATAACAGAGTTTTGATAATCAGCTCTAGTTAATATAGTTTATCCTACAAATATGATTTTTCTTTTTACAATAGTATGTTGCAAACTGACCTTGAGTTCCTGGTTTTTGCTTTTCTCCAACATTTTTAAGACTTTTTGATGTGATGCCTCCAGCTGCAGTTTAACATTCTGGTTCTCTTTAATGGTGTTTTGAAGATCCTGCAAAAGCTTCTCTTTTTCTTTGTTGGACTGTAGATTATGTTTCTTCAGTGACTCCTTGAAATTATTTGCTTGTTGGTCTAATATTTGCTTCAGCTGAGCCACCTTCCAGAAAAGTAAGTCAGCAGGATAGGATTAATGGCTGCATTCACAATGGAGAGGAATTATGTAAATTTGAGCACATTTTATGAATTTGTGTTGCTCTATGAAAAATAGCAAGATGCTTGTTTCATGCAAGGAGCCCTTTTTTTTCAGGGAAAAATGACATCCCTTTTGCAAATACTGTCCGTTGCCCCTTAAGTACATTTCTTAAGTTATTTCTTTTCAAATCCTCTCCATCTCACACGTAGAATCCAGAGTTCAATTCACACAATAATTATGGCACAAACCAGGAGGCAAGGCCTAAGGCTGTTCTTATTGTCAGCCCGGAGACATAACACTGCAGAGTCCATTTATAGAAAGCAGATTTGTTTTATTTTCTCTCCCCTCTTAGCTAAATCACTAAATACAGTAGACATTTCTATAATGGCTGACACAAAAGTAACAAAATGGTCAGCCCAGAGATGTAACACTGCAGAGTCCGTTTATAGAAAGCAGTAGATAAGAACCCATGGAAACAAGAATTCTGCACATCATGCTTCAGATTTGTTTTATTTTCTCACCCCTCTTAAATAAATTACTAAATACAGTAGACATGTCTATAATGGCTGACACAAAAGTAACAAAATACACCCCTTTAGAAGAATAACTTGGTGGGGGTTTTTTTTGGTGGGGAAGGAAGGGACTGTTCTCTTTCCTATTGGTAGGTTTTCTAAACTTTCAGTACAGATTTGTATTTGCTCTTCTTCTTAAATTTGCCATTCCAAACATCAGAGCTATGAAATCTTGAAAAACTACCTTCTGCGTAGAAGGAGCATGCATAATTAGTACAGCAAATTAGCATTTCTGCTGCTGTTTCTGGGCTTCCAAGTCTGCTTTTTTGCTCCTCCTGCAAAATCTCTATGTCTCTTGCCTATCTTTTTGGGAGCATGTGAAAGAGGATGGTCTGCTTTCCAATTTTTATATATTTGTACTTTCCAGCCTTAGAGAAACAGAATTCAAACTATGAAAGGAAGCAGTTAGCTTCCTTAGAATTTCATGTGACTATAAATGAGTCAAATGATGCACATACCTGCAAACTGGATATGATACAGATTATAACCTGTGAGTTCATCCTGTTCTTTCCCCTACACTAATATATGTCTTTTTTCTCTTTTTAAGTGTTGCCTTAAATTTTTTCCCATGCACACTGCAGAGAGTTTGTTAGCTGAGGAAGCACTCTAGCTTTATTTAGCTAAATAGTTGCATGTAACTTCAACTGCACACTGGTGGTTCTGTCTGATGCAGCACCACAAAAGCTGGAGGAAGATCTATTAAGTGGGCTAAGGTGTCTATATCCTTCCACGTTTCATTCTCATAGCACCTTCTGGTATATTTGGTATTACATTACAAAAGGAGATACTAATGGGCTGTGCCAGGTCTCTCCAAATGACAGGAATCCTTTCTGATGATGGCTCTTGCTAGCTCATGGCTCTGTTCTTTCTCACACTGGTTGACCATGCTGGCTTCTCTCCTCCAAAGGACGTGCCCTCTCCTTTCCCTCTCCTGAGGCCCTTCTCCATTCCCAGATGGATCACAGCTCTTATCCAAGTACTCTGTAAGCCTCTACTATTCTTGTAGGTTCCCAGCACAGAACTGTGCTCTGAGGGCTCAAAGTGTGCAAACCACAGAGCTTGTATCGGTCCCCTGGGTTTCAACTCTTTTTGGAGAAAGGACATCCTGTACCCCCACTTTATGACCACAACCTTCAACGACATCGTAGCTTGACTTGTCTTAAATTTTAGTCACAATTTCTGCTTTTACCATTTTTTGGCATCTGTTCCCTTCTCTCTAGAATTTATACAAGTCTTTATGTCCCAAAAATGAATCATGATATTAAAAAAGAAAAATGAATGTGAACCGTTTTTTTCTTTTGAGACACTCACAGCTTAGAAAGGATTATTTCTACTCAATCAATTTGTCTTACTTTAATTGTTTTTTTCTACAGAGCAACTAAAGAAGGGCCTGAAAACATTGTAAAAACTTGCTCTATTTGGTCTGGTTTTAGTTTCTAATTTTAAGTAAAAAGTTTGTGTTCACAGAATATCAGATGAAGATGTATTCTTTCTGTGTGTTATTCATGTGAAACATGGACTACATGCACTGTGGAGATAACTCAAAGCCTATTACTTGGAGACACACATCTTAAGAAGGACATACCTTCCCTTTACTAAATCTGGTTTCTGTAGTTCTGTAAGCAGCTACAAGAATTACTGTTCCATTTTTGCGTAGGTTTTTGGCTGCTGAACTGCTGTTCCTATACAAAGTCAGTATACTTTGTTCCTTCCATTTAAATAGAGTTTCTCCTTCAAATCCACAAGTCAGGTTCTTTTTCGCTAATTAACTGGTGGTGGTCATTACTGATCATCACTGATCTTGTACTTCAGTTTCCCTTTGAACCACTTCCAACAGCTTGCTCACAAAAGCCTATACTACTATTATAATTAGGGTGGATTTCCTTTACCAGATTGGGCAGTGTGCTATGTTTGAACTTCAAAGTTCCTCAGCTCTATTACTGATGTTTCACTTGTTCTGAGATCTACAACAGTATCTGTAATTTAGACACGACAGAAATCTGCAAGCACTGATGACCCTTGTTAAAAGACTCTTTGGCAATGCTACCAGCTTGGGCAGTTGAACCTCTTTCTTGGTGGCGAACCAAGCAACCAATAAAGCTTTTAGTGAATAATAAACCAAAGGAAGCATTTTTGAATGCACATATCAAAATGAAAAAGTAAAATATTTCCTCCAGACTGAATTCAATGTTTTTAAAGCTTAAATTACTTCATCACTTGCAAGGAGACGAATGACTTCATTAACAGAACACAGGGGAAGAAGCGATGGCAGCGATGGCTCTGCTTTGGGTGTGATAAGGAAAAAAGAAGCATGGAGGGACAGAAAAACCAGGAGAACAAGAGAGTAGGTGTGTGTGCATAGAAAGGTGACTGCGGCACTTACCCAAGTGATACAGGCCTACGTTGTCCAATGACAACTGAACATACAAGTGAAGAAGCGGCAACAACTGACCCACTGTAGCTTACCTTGTTTTATCCTAGAACCCAGTGAAAAGGGGACTCTTTAAATGGTGAGAAAACTGACAGAAGATAAAAACCACCAAAATAAACCAAGCCCAAGTCTCCCACACAGCATGGGAATGCTAGGTTAGTAGATAAGAATACAAGCATTCTTTCCCCAGCGTTTCACAAATCAAGTGTTTTATTTTGTTCTCTTTTAAGGGTAGATAAGAATACAAGCATTCCTTCACCCAGTGTTTTGCGAATCAAGTGTTTTATTTTGTTCTCTTTTAAGTGCCAGAAAATGAAGAAGATTAGTTTTAACGCTTCTTAAGCAATTTCAAACCAACACGGTACATTTGAATTTCACTGAAGCCATCCAACCAAATTGATGTAATAAATTTGAAAGAGCACCTAGCTTTAGCTGTCCCAAACTGAGTTTAACTTAACTAATCATCCAGTTGTTTCTTGGCTTCTTCCATTGTGTCAACCAATTAAACACAAAGAAAACTATCTGAACAAACTAGTGATGAATAATTGCTAAATATTATTCTTAATGAAAAACATTAATTGTCTTTAATGTGTGTCTGTGATGGGATCTATCTGTGGCCTGGATACATTCCAAGAACATGCAGATGCTAGAGGCACTTGCCAACTATACCTTTGTTTCCAGAGCTGCTGCAATTTTGTTTTTTTGTTGTTTTTTTTTTTAAAAAAAACAAGTGGTAAATCATAAGATTTAACCAAAAGGGGTACTTAGACTTCTGGTTACAGGTGAAACATTTATTTTGTCTTAATATCTACTGAACTCAAGCCAATGTTGTCCTCTATAAAGAGAGGAAACACTGAAGCTTTTAGGTACTTAAATTTAATTGTGAAACAATGCTGTACAGTCCCCTGTATCAGCTGATGTAATATTCATTAGCATTACTATACTCAAGCATGCATTTTTTTCTGGGCTTCCTGAAAATAAACCAGTGAGTAAAATGGATGTGCCAGAAAAGCAGGCTGTACATTTTCTAACAGAAAAATTGGAAACAGGAAAAATGTTGCTCAGAATATTTCTTTTGTGAATTCAATATTCTTCTAGGTAGGGAACATGAAAAGAGACATTTATAAACTTCAGCTATGGTCACAACGTTATTAACCTTCCAGACTCTTTTAACAGATGATTATTGGTTCAAAGCACTACTAACATGAAACATAAGACTGGACACAGACTAAGCAGCAAATTGGTAGCAACAAAGAACATAATGCAGTAAGAAATCAGATGAAAAAGTATTTCATTATTTGGCAGCGATTTAGAGAAAAAGACCTAAACAAATATATCATGCATACAAAAACACTCTCTCTCATGAATCCTGCTACTTCTAACATATTAGAGGTCAAGAAACAAACATTTCCATCCCATCAGGTGTCCTCCTCCTGTCTTTCAATTAAAAAGGCTGTCAAGTACACCAGTGCAAATTCTTCTCTGGAATATTTTGCAGTGCCAGGCATTTTATTATGTTTCATTACTTCAAAACAGATAGCCAGACCCTCAATTTGTTTAAATCAGTAAAGCAACATTTAAAGCAATGAAACTATGCCAACTCACATCAGTCCAGAATCTATTTGGCTCCCTTTACTGTTAACAAACCAGCAACACTGTATGATTTTGTGTTTTATAATGTCTTTCTACTGCAAAACAAAACTTCTTGAAAAAACTGTACCTCTAAAACCATTATTCATTCACTTTTATCCACCAGAATTGCCTAAAGTGGGCTTAAAGATGCAACTAATAGCTATCCACAGTATAAACTCTAGGCAACAGTACTTTCCTAGGCTCTGATGAATTCTTTTCAAATTTCAGAGTTATGTTTGCACTTGCCCTTTCTTATGACAGCTGATTTTGCCTACCACTGTCTTCCAAGTAAAGAAAAAATGAACAACTATTACTAGAAGATGACAGGTAAGTTTCGAAATATTTCAAAAGTCTTTTAAGTTCCATTTTTTTCTAACCATAATTACAGTTCTTCTCTTGTGAAGGATGGCTTGATTCTTTTGAAGAAGTACCTCTCAGACTTTTAAAGCATACTGGGCATGTATAAGGCTGTGCGTGCCCTCACAGTTGGCTCCCCCATTTGACTTCTTGCTTTGATTATTTTAATTCACTGTGCTTGAAAGCACTATGAATTCTTGAATCTTGATCTTATGTCTGCTCTTCCCTTCTTTTATTTATCATATGTAAGAAGTGTGAAATCTCAGAGGCAAGATCTAAAGTTGGAATCAGAGGGAATATTTTGACTTCCTGTATCTTTTAAGTAGAAAGATCCGAGTTTCTCAATGCATTGCTAGGGGATGAATTTATATAAAAGACTTTAAACTGCCTTTTGATGTATTATAGAAGAGTCAGCACAATTGAGAATTTGTTCAGAGTCAAAATAAGGCACCCAAATGCTACAGGGTTTTATTCATACCATGCTGCTATTACATCTAAACAGTAACATGGCATAAGAAGTAACAACAAAATAATGAAATTATATTTTACTGTTGCCTTTAGGCTTATTCCACAGTTACTTCAGTTAAGTTCACAGTTATCTGCCTTCCTCAACTTATGGCAATTCCTGACCAGAGGGACAGGTATGAACTTATCAGACACACCTCTGCTGCTGCTGTGTGGTGGTGCCTCCAAGAATCATCAGGGCTCTGGGTGCTGCTGTGCCAGCATCATTCAAAAATGCATCACGACAAGGTGATGCCTACGCTTCTCTTTTATGTACCTTCCAATTCCAGAATAGTCCCTTTAACACGTTGAAGAGATCTGCAGTGCAAAAGCAAGGGACTGGAGGACTCTAATGAATTAGCATTTGACCCACACGGAATCTTCACATCCTTCCTTCCAAAGGACCAAACAGGTGTGAAACCAATTTCTTCACCCAGAAAAATTTCATTAATACAGAAATCATGCCACATCGAAGTGCATCCCTAGAGAGATGAAATTATCACAATTCTGTCTACTCTGCGTAGTGCTCTAGCTATGTCAGCCCAACCCAAAATGTGTCTTATGCAGCCAAGGAAGCTATTTTTAGATCTGAAATGGTATCCAGGTTAGAACTGGATTAATAACAGCACATTGCCTAACCTTTGAGGCGGAAGCTCTGGGCTGAGCCATTGCAAAGGTTCCCAGCTGGGAATCGTGCCCTCAGTGAAACATAATGTTGTCTAGTAAATGGCGGTTTCTTGGCTGTGAATATTCACATATTTATAGAAGGAAAGTATTGTTAGTTGAAAGTAATTCACTTCCCTGGTAATACTGCCAAGTAATTATTTCAGAAAGCAACTTATAGTGTACCAAGAGAAATGCAAAATTTCTCTTCAGAGGGAGCATTTCCTTCTTTGGGGGAGCACTGCTAGACTCTAAGATACACCAAAATGTTTCTTAGTGTATCTGTTTATACTTACCATGGTGTTGTGAACATACCATATGGCATGATAAATACTATTTTATATTATTTATTTATATTTATAGTGACAATAATTTCCCACCAACCCTTGCATTTACCATGATGTCACGATATGAAAAGACTAGCAGTTAGGAAACACAGGTTTGTTTCCTATTTTTCCATCCTGAATGTGTGATTTCAAGAAAAGCAATTTGATGACTCACTGCCTTACTTCTTCTACCTGCAAAACCTGAAGAATAATTGCTTTATGTCGTAAGCCTTTTGATTTTTTCGAGACTTTTCAATGGACTACACCACCTGTGTGCACATACAGTGTGCCACTGCTCCTCCCTTCCATCTCTTCCCCTCGCACCTCAAACCAGTACAACTTTCAGGCACTACCCAGGGACACCAGAATATTATGCTAAGTTTTCAGCTTTGAATGGACTAAGATATTTGAATAGAAAAAACGTATGTTTAGGGGAAATTGGAAAAGAATAAACACGACTAATTTCTGGGAACCCATGTTTTGCATTAGGTGCAAAGAAGTCACTCTGTGCAGGTCAGCACAGGTTGGATTGACCTGAAATTCTCTCAGAGAAGAACCTCTAGAAAACAGTGGCATGCAGAAGTGTGTAATGAAACCTGAAAACATGATTTAGCCAGAACTTTAAGAACATTAAGAGCTACACTTAAATTCTGTATTTCTAAGAGTGGGAAATGGATGGAATGTGAGAATGCAACTGTGTGATACCAGAATGTATAAATCTGTTTTAAAGGAGAAATGAAAGGGAGAAGACCATGCTGCACTCAATGCTAGTACAGCTAGTACAGCATGCATAGGAGAAAAACCAGGTGTTACAAGTAAATTACCACAACACATGCCCCGATTGCTGGAACATGCCACACCAAGCAGTAGTAATGGTATGAGGGAAAGTTGAAACAGGTAGGAGAGCAGGGGGGTGGCAACACCTTGCTTAGCCCCCTGATGAGCCTATCTATCCTTTTTGTGTCTTCAAACACTCAAAAAGAGCTTATTATGGCCACTCAGAACCTAAAAATACCAGCTGAGAAAGATCTAGGTCTTCAATTTTTGCGGAGCGGTTGCCACGCAAGCTCCCACTGAACTTGCTGGAAGTGAAACTGGTTAGAATCAGGGAAGATATAAAGCAATGGAAGTTATAGACAGCCACTTAGAACAACATCACTATCTGTAATTCAGTAGTTCCAGAGTATAGACTACCTAATTCCTGTCGTTCATTACTTTGTCTTGAACTAGACTGAAGAAATTTTGGGAATATCCTCATTTTGTTTAATAGAATATTGCAGCCTTAAAATCTGGATGGGCATGGAAAAATAAAAAAAAAAAAGAAATGAACGACAAATTTGCATGGTGAAAATATGTCCTTCTACCCCTAATCTCCCAGAAGAGACAATCACAAATCATTTCATTGTTCTGGAAAAGGTACCAAATGCAATGATATACTTGGGGTAGAAAAATAAATGTAGCACATCATCAGAACTTTTCACTAGGGCACTGATTTTAGTTCTGTTAAAGCAGTTGTTTTATAGCTTATCCATGAGATAAAAGCATCAAAATGTTCACAGGCAAAAACTTCACATGATCACACTGAAAAAAAAGTAACTATCCTGTACATAACATATTAAAACAAATAGCATTTGCCGAAAAGAACTGAACACTACAAAAAGGGAACACCAGAGAGGAAGAAAAGGTGTATTCACAGCTGTCAGAAATTTTAAAGGTGCAGTGTTTACCTGGGTAAATATTGCTTTATAGGGGTTCTGCTTTTGTTTTGGCAGAGAATTATTTATCTAATCCATTATAACTTTTCAAATAATGATACTTTCCTGTATAAATATTTTGGCAGATGTACTAATCTGGAAAATTTGCAACACTTGGCCTGCAACTGACTATACATTAGAGCTGATACAGGTGGATAACCTCATACTAACACATCCCAGGTATTTATTTCCAGATTAATCCATGTCCGTAGATTTGCTTTATGACTTAGGTGTAACCAGAGCAGGGAACAGTACACAAGCTATGACATCCTCAACGTTACTTTGGAGTCACAATGCTTTCTCTATTTTGTTCTTGATCTTGAAACAGAGGGAGGCATACCTAACTACTAATAAATACTAAATTGTTGCACATTCCAATCTGCTTCAGTTAACTCCCTTACCTTTAAGCAGGCAGAACAGAAACACTGATCTATTCGACCTTTTTTCATTCAATTCTCTTGCTTAAGGGAGCAAGCAAGCAGGCCCTTTTACATCTCTACACACACTCACAAATTAATCAGAAAGTCAACAAGAGCTGTATGGAAGATTCTAATCTCACTTAGCCCTGTATACAAACAGTCAGAGTCAGCATCCATCCCTGATATAGCCAAACTCCTCACCAAAAAGCCTTAGTATATATCCAAAGAGTTATATATGAAATTTATCAAAATAAATAGGCTTGTAAAAATCTTCATAGAAGTTCGGGAGCAGTAATTTCTGTTATTTCTCTCTAGAGTCCTTGCATATTTTCTTAAATGATAGTCACAACAAATATGATTAAAATCTAATAAAAAATATCTCAGATGAGAGGAAAAATGAAGAGCCCTTTTATTACTGGGTTACATTTATGCCCAGTTTACCTCAAGTGAAGAGTTCTGAAGCTTCCCAGTTAGGACTTCTTTCTCTTTCTCTAGTTGCTTAAGTTCACACTCAGATTTTCTTTTAAATTCCTCCAGCTGTGCCTGGAGTTCCTACAGTTAAAAAAAAAATAAAAAAAAGAAAAAAAAAAGAAAAAATAGAACAAAGCATGCAATAGCTGGGACAAAACATGCAGCATGAAAAAGAGAACATTTCTTGTATGTTAATCTAGATAATAGAGCAGTTTACACGTGCTACTGTTTACACAATACATGCTGCTGTCTTTTTTAATGTTACTCATGTATTATTTAATCAAAGAAGTATTAACAGTTCGGTTCTTTCTAATACTAGTGTTAGACAATACAGCTCACATAATCCTAATCTACTGAAAGCTTCCCTGAGGTGGAAAACTGTACAGCACGAAGAGTCAGACTGTTTTGCCTTGGGTGCTGTTAGTGTTCAAAAACAATTTAGTATGCAAGAGTCACCCACAAGACCTAAAAAACCATAAACATACATTGACCATATAAATAACCAGATAACTAATTAAAGGGCAATTAGTAGAAAAGGGAATCAAATGAAGCACTATCTTACAGAATCCATAAGGAAAATCCCAGTGAGGCAGTAAAAGTCATTTTAAATATACCTGTACAAACTTACTGACATAAAAGAATACATTATATAAAAGGCAGAGTCCTTTCATAAGGCTTCCATTTGACAGTGTACCTGTGTACCTTGAAGCACTGCATCTTCACATACTGATCAAATGTGAGCACTTTCACAATCAGACAAAATAATTTACTTACACAGGTTCCCTTTTGAAAAATGAGATTGCATAAATGTATAAACTCCAGCAGTTTCATAGGCAGAAATTAATTCTCCTGACAAGCACTTAACACAATTCCCAGTCTCCAAAATCTAGAAGGTACTATGTAGAAGCTCAACTCTAGAAGCTCAACATGTAGTGATAGGAGCTGCATGCTTTTTATGACTTCACAACTTGTAAGCAAGACATTTGATTATACACAAGTAAATGCTGAACTTGGAAAGGTATGGTGCATTAAAACTGGGAAAAATGGGCAGAAGTACATTCTCAGCACCAAGAGGGCTCTAAACAACACTTGACCTCATGGTCCGATTCTAAAAACTGCTCTTATCACTTTTTTTTGTCTTGAAGGTGTCTGACCACATCAGTACATTAGGAAACAGAATTAAATTCCTCCTTAGTTTATGTCCAAATCTGGCAGATCACTTGGGCATGCACCGAGTTGTAAGCTTCACTAAGCATTAAAGCATGTGCTTAAAACGTGTGTCAAGGTTTTCCTCCATTTGAATAGATTTCAGCTCACATTTAGGTTCCTACTGCACAGAAACATTACAGATTGAAAATTTCCTGAAGCCAAAGTATTCAGCCACAGAAAACAGTTCTCATGAAAGCAAAATTCTGTGAAGAATCTCTTATGCCAATTACTGCTAATGCACACTGAGAACAAAAATTACAGCTCAGCCACTTAAAACACATTGAGAGAAGGTATTGCTCAGGCAACCCGTCTGGAACCATGAGAAGATAAGCGCTCTTCCTGACTAAAGCTCAGTAAAGACATACATATGCATGTATTTGCTTGGAACCAGTCATCATTTCATTGGTAACAACTGCACTCTGAATCCATTTACCAACACTTTGCAGAATTAGATCCTCTGCCTAAACAATACATAATTTTTATTAAATCAATGTATCTCAGTATTTCACAGCAGCAACCCGTGGAAATTTAAATCAGAAATTGGAATACACCTACAACACATTTTTCTTCAGGAGGGACCTTATATTAATCACTCCAACTGTCACATGCAAAGCTGTGTTGCTAAGAAGGCAGTTTATCACATCAAGGCTAAATTCACCTTCCTGCCTGTGGAGCTTTTCACAGAAATACATCAGTTTGAATTTTTTTTTCCTTTTTTTTTTCCCCCACTAAAACCGTAGCAAGAAAATCCTTACGTTTTATGTTAATTCAAAGTGCCTCCAGTGAGGATAATTCAAATGATGTCACTGTGACCAATAAGATTAAAACCAGATGAATTAGAGCATCTATAAATAGAAGAACATTCCTACCTTCTACATTTTTTTCTTTCAGCTTCCATGAAGTTTTAGACCGGCTTGATTTCCTTTGTATACTTCATTACAAGATCTTCCAGTCTTTTTAACAGCTATTCCTTCAGACAAATCTTTTCCTTATGGACCTGATGCTTGCCTTTATAAAGCAAGTTCTCTGTGTCTTTTATTCAGACCTTCTTTTTAAATAGGTACACTTTTCATAGTCTATAAAACACACTAGCTATAATATGACAACACCAAGAAAGAATTCTGGGGTCACAACAGTCTATTTTGTAGTGAACACACTATTTAAGTGGATATATTCCATTGAAAAATACTGGCTTTATTTTAATTAACAATGTAGAACTGTGGTGATTTAGGGCCTTATGCCTCTTCTGTAGTCTAAGAATCGGGGAGGGGGGGTGGGTTGCTGCTCTGGTTTGAGTTTGGGTGTGTAACTCCCAACCATGCAGGCTGCTTCAAGAACCACCTTAGTTCTGTGAAGAAGTACAAGGGACAACTTGGTTTTTCTTATGTCTCTGATATTAGGTCTAATTTTCCAGAGTACTAGCACAACAATGTTGTAGGAGAACCAAAAAATACAGACAAGATTTGGGGCTGGACAATTGTTTAAAAGGAGACTTGCAGAGGGAACTCTTAGTATACATCCATTCCTCGTTGTACTGAGTTTATTGCTGGTATTATTGCTGCATGGCTTTTCAGAAGACTTCTCAAGTAGGAAAGGGTGTGAGGGGGTCTAAAATGACAGAGGGAACTCTCAGTATACATCCATTCCTCCTTGTACTGAGTTTATTGCTGGTATTACTGCTGCATGGCTTTTCAGAAGAGTTGTTTTCTATATTTAAAAAAAAATAAATCAGTATACCCACTTGACCTCAATAGAGGAAGTCTGCCTTGGACCTTGTTGTCTTTAACATTAAGGTTACAGAAGTTGAACACTCTGCCCTGTTCTAGCCCAAGGATGTCAGTAGTTTCTTTGCTGTCATTTATTTAAAAAAAAATAAATCAGTATTCCCACTTGACCTCAATAGAGGAAGCCTGCCTTGGACCTTGTTCTCTGTAACATTATGGTTACAGAAGCTGAACACTCTGCCCTGTTCTAGCTCAAGGATGTCAGTAGTTTCTTTGCTGTCATTGCAGCAACTCGTGCTTTAGGTTATGAACATGAGTCAGTGTTCTCTGGATGAGGCCAGAGATCTGGAAATTTTAACAGGATTGACTGCCAGAGAATAATCCCAAATCCATTAATCTTGAAAGAAAAATGGCATTGATTTCAGTACTTTTGGCATGCCACACTTTTGAATATTTGAGACAAACCACCTCTTTAAGGTCTTGCAGGTCTTCAGAGCTGCTCTCATTCTGGCTCTGTTTAGTAGAAGTCATTTGCTGCAGCTGTGTTATCTGTTGTTTCAGTTCATCTACCTTATTAACAGCTTTGTTTTGGGAATTCAACATAGTTTCCATATTTCTGTGGTATAAAAATTTACATTTCAAATAGCATAAGTAACTTGCAGAATTTCCAGTGTGAGTGACTACTAACAAGGGAAATACTTCAGAATGACATTTATGAGCATCTTACCTGCTTTTTGCAGGATTTCCTTCTCTTGAATTGTGTTTGTCTCTTTGACTACACTTAGATCTTCCTCTATTTTTTTCACTATACCCTTTGATTCCAGAATTTCTTGTTGTGTTCCCATAAGCTACACTTCCAAATCCTAAAATATGCATGACATTACTTCTACATTTATTACATGTATTCTTTTTTTTGTCATCTGAAATAAATGGTCTTGGTGTAGTTCCATGATAGAAATCTTTCACCTACAGAGCTGGTTTAAATACATTTTTGGCTCTTCCGTACCCATAAACTGCCTCTGCTGCCAGAACATTTGTCATGTGGAGCCATTCCCTGAAATATAGTAGGCATCACTGTAAAGTGAACACTCATCAAGTGTTACCATCTAAAAGATGTCTGAGATTATCCTAAATGTGGAACAGGATATACATCCATTAATTTCAAGATAACTTGTGCTAAAAGGTAATGAATATTAGTCTGGGTTATTTTCCAGTTGCTGAAGTACAATAGTTTGCAACATATTCCTTAAGACAGATGCCTAAACCCAAACAAATTAGCTCCTACAGACTTTGCTGGGAATTGCCTGTCCATAACTAAAAGCAAAAATTTGAACCATATTTAATGTTCTGTTCTAGAGGCTCTAGTCCAGACGTTGAACAATACTGCAATGTTCACTCAGACAAAACTGTTGTTCATTCCACATGAATGTTGAGTAAAACCTCATGGGTTAAAACTAAGTTGTATTTAACACTCTCTGGAGCTGAAAACTCAAAGGTAAGCTTGTTCCTTTCACCTCTGGCATAGGCCAAAATTCTTCCAAAACTAGACAGAACAGATCAGACTTAATGACTTTTCAACCTCTGTACTCTCTCTTCCACATTAATAATAATAATAAATGTGATGCCTTTCATCTAAAGGTCTCAAACATCTTGGCATACACTCAGAAAATTCAATCTTGCTTAAACATCAGTCCTTTTATCTTACAGTAGCTTTTCTTGTGAGTATTTACTAATGCTCAGAGATATTACTGATTAAAGAAATGTTTCTGTTTCCCAGTCTGCCACTGTCCACAGGATTCTGAGAAAAACGTAGTATTTAATAGCATCAGAAATGGACAATTTAGAAAGGAGAAACTTCTACTTCTTTATTTAAACTGGAAAGAAACGGAAAATAACATTGTGTCAAACGGTTTTTCTTCTTCCAGTTTTATCCTAGTCCAAGGCTATTGCTTTAAAGATTCACAGGGATATGCTCCAGTGGTATGTAAATCAGCCTCATGCCATAGACTTAGAGAATCTGAAATGTACAAGCTGAGCATATGTCCTTCAGAAAATATTTTTCTTTTATCCAGCTGATACTGAATTTAGAAATTAAATCACTAATGACACCACCTTCTTATTTCCTATCATGGTTTACATTATTTATTCCTAAAAAACTGCCTTTCTTATACGATAAATCAGAACAGTAAACCACATGCATAAATTTTCACGTCTCCATTCTTTATTTCTCCTGAATGCTCCTTCAAGTACCCACAAGAAATCAGGATCTTACTTGCCCTCTTCTCCTCTATCACTTCAAACTTCTATAGAGACAGGACCTTTTTCCTTACTGAAACAGGTATTACGGATTTCCCTGACTCAATTTAAAAACAATGTCTTATCTGCATCTCTGCCATTCATTATATCCTCCCCACTTTTGTACAGAATGATGAAGAGTGTTCTGCTACAGATCTACATGCTGAGAGAATGGAGTCTGAATAATGTCAGGGAAGGTGTGTTCAATTCACCCTCTGATCTTGTGAAACAAAAAGGCAGTGACAGTATTGAAAACTGAACTCCCTTAAAGAACATCTTCAGAGACGAGGCCCAGAACTCTGCACCGTCAGCAAAATGATACTGACAGGAAAGATGTGAGGGCAGATGGTGAGAAGGGTCAGAGTTGTCTTGGAGGAACACAGCTGACTGGGATGACCCTGCTCTCTACAGGACTCTGGGGTTCTCTGACTCTAAAGAAGATAAATCTTCTTTCCCATCAAGAAAAAACTGTTGTTATTCTGGAATACTCCAAGTCTAGGCCTTCTTTTCTTATCTTATACACAAGACTGCTGTCACAGGGCCGGGGACAGGTCTGGTAGGTGAGTTTATGTGATGGGAAGGACCAATAGTATTAAAAGGAAGTGGAACTGCTGAGCACAGAGCACGGCTGGGTGCTTTGGCTTCAGCACAGTTCATTGGTGTCTCTCCCCCACCCTGACCTTATGTACCAAGTGCAGCTGGCTGGCAGATTGCCCATGATGTTCCAACTTCTGAAACTGCATTTGAAATGATAAAATTAAGCAGAAAGGGGCTGCAGAGCCATGCTGCAAATATACGTATGAGATCTACACCAGCTCAGGGAGATGGGCAAAGTGTGAGGTGAGAACTAACGGGGAAGATCTCATGGCTCAGCACATAGAATTTCACAGGTGTCATTTGGAACAAGCCACTGTTGCAAGAGTCGTGCAATACCAAGCACTTGAGAGACCTTCAAGATAAGAGACCTGCCAGCTCAGGTCTCTTATCTTACCCTGTTCATATCCATGCACCAAGTTGTTGGAAACCACAAGGGAAAAAGAGAATGTACTGTGTAAACACTCACTGCTACACCAGTGCCTGCTTGCTGTTCTCTGCCCATTTCTGGGCGGGAAAGGTAAAAAGCTCTGTTCAGTCAACAGACAAAGTTTACCTCACTCCTCCCTCAGGGAATACAAATTCTAGTGTTCAAGGACTTCTAATGAGTTACTAATCATCTTAACTCTTTCTTTAAAACTCTCAGCACTGTATCCCTCCTATTTCTCTTCTAAGCCTCTAAAACTGCTTTAGCGCTTACAAAGCATTTGACTCGACATTGAAAAGATCCCTCCTCCCTTGAATTTTGAGGAACTGATAATTTGCACTTTTATAGGCAGAGATAAGGATCACAGCCTCATACTCTACCTGTATTCTCTCCTTCAGCTTCTGGGAATGCTTCTTCCTCTCATTTATCTTCTGGCTTTTCTCTTCTAGGTCTGCCTCCAACTTCTTTACCTGCTGCAGCAAAAAGCCTTCCTCAGCCTCTGAGCTCTTCCTTTGCTGCATTTCTCTCTGCTGACAACTCTTCTTTGTTTCTATCACAGACTGCTGCATAGCCTTTTTCAAAGCCTCTTTTTCTCTCTCATAAGAGGATGGCAGTTTGCTTGTTTTCCGAGTATAGTCTTCAGTTGCTCTCTGGTTCTCACTCTTCAGGTTTTTCATCTCATTCATTAGACCTTGTCCTTCCACATTGTATTTTTCATCTAAAATTACTTTTTTATCTAGATGTTCTCTCCTAGATGCTTTGCATTCATTTAGCAGTCCATCAGACTCCTGATTTAAATGTAGAAGCTTTTCAAAGTCTGCATTGGTATCTACTGTGCCTGTAGGAAGGATCGCCTGTGCTTGTTTCATGTCTGTTGTCAGCTGCCTCTCTTCCACCTGCTTCTTGCACAATGTTAACTCTGCCAAGGCTTCCTCCTTCAGTCTCTTGTGTTGTTCTACAGCAATTTCAAGGGCCTGAATACGTTTCCTCAGCAATTCTTCTTCTTCAGCTTTGCTCTTACATTGGAGAATCGTTTCCCTTGTCTCAGCAAGAATGTGCTGAATTTCTTCTTCATGAGCCTCTCTCAGAGCCTGTATACTAGCCTCATGTTCATCATTCTTTGTGTTCAAGGCATATATCACCTATTGAATAAGAAAAATAATAGGAAATTAAAGTATTTGGTGGATAGTAGCCATGAATTCAGTTACTCTATTTATCGAGGTGTTAAACGCTAAAAGAGAATCACTACTGCGGTTTAATCTTTTGTTGTTGTTTTCACTAGGAAAAGAACGGACAATTATAAACTGCAAAACTCTATAGGGAATCGTAGAATGGTTTGGGTTGGAAGGGACCTTAAAGATCTTGGAGTTCCAACCCCCCTGCCATGGGCAGGGACACCTCCCACCAGACCAGGTTGCTCCAAACCCCATCCAGCCTGGCCTTGAACCCCTCCAGGGATGGGGCAGCCACAGCTTCTCTGGGCAACCTGTTCCAGTGTCTCACCACCCTCACAGGAAAGAATTTCTTCCTGATGTCTAATTTAAATCTCCTCTCAGTTTAAAACCATTACGCCTTGGTCCTATCACTCTACTCCCTGAAGGAAGACATACTGTGAGAAAACACTTTTTTTTCACTTTTTGTCAGAGATTTCCTTTTTTATTCTTGGCAAGTTGTCACTTCATGACCCTAGTTTGATCTCTAACACAAGTAATGAAACAGGGCCTCTTCTCTAGCTAACTGTCTCAGTATTTGCAGTCCAGTTCACCTGGCCTTCAGTGCAGGAGGACTACCTGCCCTGTGGCCGTTAGCATTAGCAAGTGCTAGGGACCAGTAGTGGCAGATCTGTAGAGTGAAACCTGAAGTCCTGACGTCCAGTTCATGTGGACCAAAATCATTCTGTGATTTGTAAACCAAAGTTTGCAAGGAGGATGAAATTTTGCACTCCTAAACAAAACTAAAATACCACTGAAAATACACTCCTGGAAATCATATGCCCGACAAGTTAGCTCGATCAGCATTATAAGATAGGCATTGCTTGACTGTAAGCACCTTTTGGTTTGATTCTGAGAAGTGTTCAGGCAATGGGTTTCTTTCCTCACTTCCCTAACAGCTATAAATCTCAGAAACAAGGTTTTATCAGATTCAAGCAAGCTTCTGATGACACTAAGCAATGTTTTCAAATAATTGATTTAAACCTTTTGATGCTTTATCTTCTACAAACTGCAGGATAATAATTCTCATGACTATAAAACAAATTATTACCCCAAGGAGGCTTCATCTGTTACCTGTTACCACACACCAAAGACCTCTCACAGAAGCTGTTTACAAGCACACTCCTATTGTTTTGAAAAATCAAATGCTATTAGAAGCCCACAGTTAATTGAAGACTTCATAGTCAAAACTGGTAAATGTGCATGTTTAGCCTACAAGACAGTTACATAGAATTGAAAAACATAGTCACTATCTTGAAAAGACACAAGATTGTACTTTCAGACCCCCGTTAGGACACATGGGGGCCGATCCAGTTTCTACTGGGCATAGGTATCGGACTCAAGGAGAACAACATGTTGTGTATTAACATGTGTGGAGGTTTTCCACTTGTTTGGCTGTGTGGGTTGGTTTTTTTTAGAGAAGTTACTGCTCTTTACAACTAGGTTTGGAATTTTTATACAAATTACCACAGGTACTTTCAGTTTGGCCTGACCCCATAGAGGTTAATAAAAAAATTCATTGACAATGTTTGAGAAAGTAATAGTCTTAAGTACATAAATAAATACAGAAGCAAGATCACAAATAATTCTTTAATTATACTAGAATTTTGGCCCTGTAATCTTCAATCCTTCCTCAGGGAAAGCCTCAGAGACCAATAGGCATCTTGACCCCAGTAAGTGTCACAAGTCTGTAGTCTGTGTTGTATAAGCACTGACGATTGAATCTGCTTAGCTACGCCAAACCATTTGTTGTGCTATCTGTATATGAATAACATAGTGAATTTCAGTCATCCATAAATGAAAGCAAATACACAAATATATCTTGCTTGTAGTCAACTTTCTCGCTGGCAGTAATGAATTAAGTATAGAAATCTTTACAAGTCACAAATGCAAAACGCGGTCTGGACACATTTCTGGATAAATATGTGACATAAAAGAATAATGGAATCCTATTCCAGAAGATAAGCAGAGAAGGAGTCATTATCAACATTTAGATATGTTTGTTTTGGGGCCTTAGATTACATGCTGTTAATTCTTCTATTATTTTTAAGCATTTTTCCTTTGAAACAGAAATAGTTGCAGGATACTGAGCAGTTTCCTTCTCCCCTCTCCTCACTAACAAAACTCATTCTATGAACCTTTCTTAACTGCTGACAAGACAGACATAAAATCTAAAAGGAGAAGATTAATTTTGCCCATGGGTTTAGAAGGACCAGTAATTAGTTTGTGCAACTCTTCAATTAACTAGGTCAGATGTTGATGATCACATTTCTGTATTTCATTCCACCAGCAAAACAGAGATGAACCTCCGGCCTTCGTGACTCAAAGACCACTCTTACTGATTAATTTATCTAGTAAATCAGCACTGCCTGTCTCCTGTTATGCTATGTTCAGGCTGGCAGTGGAATATCAGTTCCTCTAAAGTCTTACTTCATCATAGAGATTTCCCAAATTCCACTGAACGTTAGATCATCACCAACATCTTAATTGAGTCATCTAAAAGAATGGAATAAACTGGCCTCCCTGCTTTATTATTCCTACATGTCTGTTCAATAGTAGCTAGAACCACAACTAAGAATTTTGACTGGAAAATGCATGCCCTTAAATTTAATCTTCAAGCTTGAGTGCTGAAACTGATTCCTCAGCCTCTTAACCTCCTTAAGAGATTTATTTTTAGAGGGCTGCAGCTCCTGTACTTTATGAAATTTAAGCCCCTCACGCACGCCTCTCACCCCCTACCGAATATAGTGACAATATTCCTATCCCAGATACCTCATTTAAGAAACTGGAGTTACGCAAGACGAATATGGGACTTTAAGTGCTGGAAGGAAAAATACTGAAAAATTATTTCAGCATCTGTACTTTGTGAGTGTACGTAGTGCTGGCTAATGTGGTTTACACCTCCTCACTGTTGTGTTGATAAACAGATCTTTAAAAGCAGTTCTAACATTGATCAGCCTGACTAAACAGACAGAATTGCTTTCAAATGAAAAGAGCACTACATTACTCTTTGAGTTACTAGCATAATACCAATGGCTACTGCCTCCTTACAGTTCTCCAATACTCAGTGTATTGGGAAACACTGCACTGATTTTGCAGTATCTGAAAGGGATCTGACAGGTTGGTAAAAACACTATTACACACACACACTTTAACAGTGAATACGAATACATCTTATTAGTCCTATTTTATCCTCCAAATGCTGTAAATCTAAATGGCATTTCCCTTCTCCTTTTCTTTATGGTGATGTAAAATAATAAAAAAGAAAACATTCAACAGCATCTCATCAGTGAAGACAAACCTAAAGCACTCAAACCAAAAAATACTGTTCTATCTTCCTGCAGTAGTGTTAAACACTACTCTTGAAGGAACCTGACCATCATCATGAAAAACAAGGTTCAAAGCAACCTTCATGGTTGCTTTGCTAGCTGAATAAGGAGCGAGACAGTTTGGTATGGAAGGTGAGGACTGAGGATGATAAGAGGAATCAAAGAAAGGCAAAAGATCCTAGTGTTCTTCCTCCAAGCCCAAGCTAGTGGCCACAAATCCTAATGATGGAGAGGAAAAAAAACAAAACCTCCTGGCAGCACCCTAAACAAAGCAGGGAAGGAGACAAGTTTGGATTGCTAATTAGCTGCTTCAGGCTCACTGGGGCCAGGTGAGTGCATCAGTTCCTTTTTACCAGTACTGGTAGTATCTTATCTTTGCTAGCAGATGAATTTGTTTCTATGAATTCTGTCTTGTCTACTTCCCAAGCAGACCAGAGCAAAGTGAGATATCTAACTTAATGTCAACCTTAAAAGGGTTGCTTTTGAAGCAAAGGACAGAGAAATTCTTTAAAGCAAATTCAGTTATTGAAAGAAATAGGTATATATCCCTTAGCCTCCTCTGTCACTGTAACTATACAGATTAGAAAATAAAACCAACTCCCACAATTGATTAATTAATACTTTAAGAAGTATCTTTTGTTCTTGCTAACACTGAATAAGGAAGACTGTCTTTTAATTCAGGTATAGACCTAGGCTACAATTAGCTACCATGCTGATCCAATTTTATATCTATGCTCATTTCAACTGAATGATACCACTGTAACATATGATCAGGGACCTCACGAAGTCTCAAATCTCTCCTTGCGTCCTCTGTGGCTTCCTGAAAGCACAAGAATAATTTATGCAGCCAAATAGCTGCAGCAACTGTTGGTAACATTGCCTGTTTATGTGTTTATATGAGAGAAGCCTTTAAAAAAATTGGCACTCCAAACATCCAGAAGTGTTTCAGAATCTAAAATTACAAAAATATCTTTAAAATAATGAGGAATTTTGTTCATATTTTAACTTGTTTGGTTTTTTAAATTTGCCTTATGATTTTTCAGTCTTGCAGGTGTGCTTTCAGCACCTTGCAAAAACATGAGTGCTAAAGTAATTTTTTTTCCTCTGAAACAAAAGCTCAGTTCCAGCTAAAATGACTTTGTTTTCAAAAGCTGGAGTTGTGGGGAGAAATACCCAAAGTTTCTTTTGTGAGCTTCCAGATTACATAGCCTACTACCAGCCCATTCATTTGAAAAATACTATAAAGTACAGTTCATGATTCATTCATCCACTCACTACAACAGTACATTAAAATTACCTTGAGTCAACACAGACCAACACAGTGTTGACTGTCACTTATAAAACAATAAAAATACCTTCTTTCAAGCCTTTCACTGTCAGCAAATTATTAAAAATATTTTTCCCAAATTTCCAAACCCTCAAACTTCTATCTATCCATATGTAGTAGGCATGGATAACAAATTAACGAAGTCAGAGATGCAGAGAATTCAGGGCCAACTTATGTTCAATGGAGTTAACGAGCTCAAAGTCACAGCTGAGAACTCAGCTACAGGTTATAATGCCAGCCTCTTGCTGGAAACAGGTAACTATAACTAAAACTCA